AAAAAAAAAATGCAACTTGTATATTATCTGTCGCTGAACACGCTCGGTAGCAGTATTGAATATGAAGGGAACTGCTGACAAATACGTGTAGACATGGCCACGGGCCAGCCCGGCCATCGTCCCGGTCCCGGCCCGCAACCGATCCGTAGGTTGCCGGTTCCGAGAACCGGCACCGTGGCTTTACGGGCCATATCCGGGTCCCTTGTGCCTTCTCTTTCTGCCATTCGTTACAATATGTGTATCCAAGACCAAGGTTCGCTCAATGTACTTCACCGAAAGTCATTCATCATTCCTTCAGATTAACGGGATACACTACTGGTATACAACCTAATAAATAGGTTATGTGCTCCCTGTCTTCTGTGGGCATATCATCCTTGCTCTAGCCTCAATCCATTTTCCAGATACATAATGTATAAACATGATAACAAACACAAATTTACATGTGATTCGACCAAATAATACAAATGCCAGTTTACTTTAACACATTAGTCAGGCTGAGGTTCCCGTGATGCTAATGATGCGGGTGAACTGTATACCAACGTCTCAGGAAAGAAGAGGCAGTGAAGAACTTCCAAGAACTGGCTGTGTTGGACGTGTAAGGATAAAATGAAACCAAAAATAACAAATAGACAAAATAGGAGCAAGTGTAGCAGACTTCTCTTGGTACATAGGCTAAAAGACATACTAGTACAAACAGAATAAATGTTGTTAAATGCTCAAGACAATCCTCAGACGACTTCAAAAGTGAGCCGGGAAAATGTCTAGCATGCATAAGCATAACACAACAGTTACATGGGCAGCAACAATTATAAACATATCGTTTGGTGGGAGATAGCGAACAATGACATACTATCAGAGCATGACATAGAGAAGTTGTAATTTTACATCAGGTGTAAGAACTAAGAACAATGCATTGCAATAGATCTGAATTCCTGCCGGTAGCATCACGGGAAGACAGTCTACTGTCGTCTAAACTTGGGCCGTATCATGATCATCCCAGACCTAGTCTCGTCAAAGTGATATCTGCAGAGAACATATCAATATCCCTGGTGAACAAATATTTTGCTGGAAATACTACAGATAGATACTATTTCCTATTTCATTGGCCAAAGTTGAAGAAAGAGATGAGTTTCACCTGTTTTCACCGAGATAGTTTCGAATAGCTGATGGAAGTGCAGCTGCTCCACGGCTATGATTGCCCTTTCCTGCCGAAAAGTAAATTTATGAATAAATGCATGTAAGGTAAGGGCATTTTATAAATATAAATGAAATTGCGAACACAAACTTGTCATAAATTATAAAACAACAAGTGGCTGCAGAAGAATCCACACAGGAGATGGCAAAGCTTTCTCCAGATATTTTAAGACATAAAGCAGAACAACATGAGGCGAGGCCACGTGTCCAATTCACTAAAAACTAAAAATGTACACCGCACCTTGAGGACAATGTAAAATAGATAAGATACAAAAAAACAACTTATACTACTTAAATGAACATCAGTTTGATAAGCAAATTGATTGTCAAATAACAACAAATAACATGCATTCCAGTAATTGGCTGGAAATATCTCACGTGCTAAAATCCTTTCCCTTATGTGCCTTAGTGTGGAATATTTCCTCAGCAACAGAGCTAATATCATACATGGTGAATGCTTTTCTTCACTCTTGTATCAAGACAAAAGAATTGGTACAGACACGAAGCACAAGTTGACTGATTTCACTCACAAATATTAACTACCAAATACTTTTGTACGACATATTGTTCATATCACTCTTTCACAGTAGGAGAACATGTCATACCTGTTATAACCTGTAATAAGTTTTGCCTCTGCCTAGATGGAAGGAGCCGTCTCCCAAACTTTTCCATCTTAACATCTGCGGACGACATAGATGCAGCAAGAGACACGCATGACTCCTTCTGGACCGCATCAAGTGTGGCCAAGCAATTTGGTGAAAATAAAGATTCAACTACTTGTAAACGTTCACGCAATGCTTCAACTGCTTCTGCTGCATGTAGACCATGCAAGTCCAATTTCCATAGATCATTTTCGCAGTTCCTCACATTCAGAATTTCCTTGGCTGCCTTGGAATGCAGCTTCTGAGCAGCAGTCCATTCTTCCCGTGCTTTGAGTGACAACTGAATGGCCGCTTTATGATCACCTCTCAAATATGCATCATTTGCGGCCTTAGAATGACGTGATGCCAATCTGATCAAAGAAGAAACAACAAAGATTTTAGGGACACAAAAATGGTTAAAGGGTGATGATAGTTTGCCTGCAATATACGACATTTATTCTCATCTGTTCACAATATTTGACTTCTAAGCCAATGTATTCAAGCATTTCTCCTGTGTGTCCCGTTCCCTCCGAGTTATGAGGAATCACTGTTTCATACATCGCTCTTTCATTAATAAATGTGCACTAACTAATTTTCAGTTCCTCTGAAATTATATTTTCTACCATACATCACATGCATTCAGCATTTATTTCTTAATAAACTCCGTTACACTAGACAAGTAACGATTTATGTAGATTCATCAAAAGGGTAAAAAATGAGAAATAAGTTAGCACACTCTGTTGAGCCTTTTAATGTGCATCCAAGTGGAATTTGCATCATAGTTAATATAACAAGGATCTACTAATAAATTAAAATGGATTTACACAGTTCAGTTGCAGTCGCTCAGTTATCTACTGCCATCACCTTCCCTCACAACGCCCCGCTTGTGCATCCACCCACGTAAATGAGAGAGAAAAAAGATAAGACAAACCATTCTTGTGGAATTCCAGGATAAATATCATAAATAGTAACACTAAATTTAGCTCCAGTTTCAACAAGGTGATTTCACTGGATGTAGGTCGTGGATCAATATTCTTTAACAATTTTCATAATAGTAAATAGACACATGAAAATTACCCAGCATACCTGGTCATACTTATAGCATCTTTTCGGTGAATTAAGTAAACATCATCCTCTTGCCACTCAGCCTCCGGTTCAATGGGTAAGGACTTGATAGCACCCAGTAATTGCGCAGAAGTTAAATCATCCTTGAATTCGTTACTAAAGGAACCATCTGTGGTAAAGCTTGCATCTTTATTCTCTCCCACAAAACCATCGTCAACGCCAAAGGATACAATAGCATTTTTACTAGGGTCGACTTTCTTGCTCTCGGCAGCTTTATTCTCAGAGATTAGCATATCTCCCAGTAATGATAGAGCACTATCAACATCACCGCTTACGCCGGCTAGGACATCCCGAATCAAGCTTTCATCCGCCCAAGAATGAAGGCACTTAAGCTTCTGATAAACCTCAACGGACTCATTATCAGTCTCAATATTGTGAGCACTAAGGAGACAATCATTACCAACTGGAGCTCGGCCTTTCTTGTTACCATCAGTGGTGTCAACTAAGGAAGGAAAATTTAAAGGAGTTGCAACTACAGACGAAAAGGGCTTCTCCAATAGAACTCCATGTTTGTTGGAAAGGGTGTTGGGGAAAGTGGGGCCAGATAACAAGGGGTAACCCTCGGAAACCTTGTTGGGTTCGATGAGTTGTGATTTCTGTTTATGCTTAAGGTCAAAAGCCGCCCAACCTGAAGTGCATTTACCTTTAGCACTACCACGCACAGGGCTTCTTTCACTAGTAGACGCGCTCATCTTATTACTAGTTCAACGCATACATACATACATAAAGTTCGCACCTGAATAAATTACTTTCCGCTAAAGGATAGCTACTCGTTATATAAGTTCAAGTATCCAAGGTAAAAAGGAGAGGTGACAACCAGAATTAGGTTATTTGATGAGTCCCCAAAGCAGAAAATTGGAGAACAAATCCGCAAATTTTCCAAGATAGAACAAATGAAAAATCAAACTATTTTGGGGACAAATGAAGCAGATTACCTATCAGGGAACGGTAAGACGCGAGTGCCGCAACCAGAGCGCGAGGGGAAGACCGGATTTGGACGGCTGAGATGGCGACGGAGAAGCAACAGTTGCGGTGGCGAGATTACAGACTACGGCGGCGAAAGAGGAGGAAGCTAAAGGAGAATCGAATCTGAAATCCATAAAGGCTAGGGATCAAAAGCTTGTTGACTCAGAGAGATGGAAGGAAGATGGATGCAGGGCAGAGACGGGGATTCTCTCTCTCTCTTCTTTTTGTATGTAATGTAACACGCAGTGGACGAAAGGTGGATCCACTTTTTATATATTTTTTTTTTTTTTTACCAGAACTAGGTTAGTGGTTGCAATAATTCCGCGTTTAATATGTGCAATTAAAAAAAAAAAATGTGTGAGTCAGATAACTTTTTTTTTTTATTTTAAGTATTAAATATTTTTTTTTCCCATCCTCTTTATATATAATTTCTGAATGCGCTGCTTATGGTGCTTCGGAATCCTACTTGACGAAGAATCATGCTTCGTAATTAGGTTTGGACAAATAATATTAATATATTAATAATTAATAATCTAGGTTCGGATATTCCATAAATATTATTTATCTAACTTAGGTATTTTAATATCACATGTACTAATATAACCCTTTAACTATTTGTACTTTTACATAGTGAGACAGTAAGTGACTAATATATCCGTGACTTTGATTTGTTTCATTCAATTAGCTATTGAATTGTAAATGTATTTTAAAAGTTCATAACTTTTGTACTTCTTATCGATTTTACATATATTATATATCAAATTAATCATCTTTTGATGATCTTCGATTTGACATCCATATTATATATATAAAATAAATAATTATATTTATCTTTATAATAATAAAAATCGATAATATTTATTAAAATTTATTAGAAAAATAAAATTATTTATCAATTGATATATTTTTTTTAATGTAGTTATACGTTGTAAGTTAAAAAATTATTATTATATAACACATGTAAGTCGAAAAAATAAAGAGTGTCATACTAAATATATAATAATATATATATATTTTTGTAAAAGGTATTAAAAGTTAAACTACTTTTTCTCATTAATTTTAGATTTTAAGAAAAAAATTAGCAAGCACCTGTGTAGTACACGGGCGTTGTACTAGATTACATTATTTAGATATTTAAATAGAGTTAATCAATACATTTATTTAAAAATACAAATTTTATTATAAATTTTCAATTATTTTTTGAAAGATAACATTATTGTTTTTAATTAATAATTAATTTAGTTTTAAACATAATTTATAAGATAATAATAAATTAATTTAATAACTACTGAAAATGATCATAAAATAGACGATAACAGGTTGAACCGTGTACCGGTAACTCGCCCAGTATTGAATAATACATTTTTTAAATAATCATTTTTCAATGCACAAATTACAATAAAATTAATACTCACTCTTATTCATAATAAGTGCCGTTTTAAAAAGTTGCACAATAATTAAGAATATTTTTTATTGTCAATATTAATTGTCTTTAATGAAGATAGAGATGAATGTTTTGAGAAAAAAAAAATGAAGAGTGAAAATAAAAAAGGCGTAAAGAATTTATTAGCTAAATCAGAGTAAATAATAGAAAAATACGTACAAAATATTCAAAACGTCATTTTTTTGGTTAATGGTTGATAAAACTAAAAAAGAATAGGAGATATATTAGATACTGTGAATACTCATTAATTTATTATATTAATATTACTTCAGCTTTGATCATTATTATCATTTCATCTTACAAACAATAACCAAATTATAATTTTGTCCTCAACTTTCAAACACTTCTGTACCAACATTTTTTCAACTGAAGTCTGAAGCATACTCATCACTCTCAAACGAAAATGTCATTTTGGAAGAGAATTCTTGATTACATTGGATAGTAAAATTCATGACCTTAAATTCAAAAGTCCTAGGTCACATAATAACTAATCCTAAGGACTTCGATATATAACACAATATGTGGCGAAAGCCATAATTTGGTCGATAAATCATAATAACAAGATTTCGAAATAGACGAGCTGTTGATGAAAAATCACGAGCCTCAACTCCCCTACAAACGAAAATGTGACTTAGGTAACGGTTCATGGTGTGGGCATGCAAGGGAGCTTATTCCCAATAAAACAATCATATAATATAAATAAACGTAAAATCTAAGACGGTTGAGGTCCTTAAGGAGACTAGTTGACGAGCTTGGAACACTGGTCGTTGATGAAGTGTTTGGTAGAGGAAATGAGGTGGGTCGACTCAGGAAGCTCGGGAAAAATGTAGAAAGCATGAATCATGTTGGGGTACTCGACAAGGTAGGCCTCCTTGCCCGACTTTCTCAGCCACTCATAGTAGTTGGTCTGCCGGTCCTTGAGGGAGTCGAAGCCAGCCACAACCACCATTGTTGGTGGGAAGTCGAGCTTGGACATGTCGACCGCCTTAGGGCCGCTAATGTTGATTGCCTCGTGATTACGGTCGATTCCTGGCCCTGGCGCCATAAACGCATTCCACACCCAATCAGTTCTGCTCATCGACACAATAGGATCAATCCCATCCAACTCCATCTCCGACTTGGTACGCTCTTCTCCTCCTAAAAACGGTTGTATGGCTACCACTCCCAATACCTGTAGTTTTGAATTATTAACATCAAGAAAATGCCAAGAAATAGAAAACACTAAAAAAAAAAAAAA